AACCCCACGACCTCTGAATGCAGCAACACTTTGTGCTAGGGCTGTCTGATTAGCTGTGGCCAATTTGTTTGAGGCTAGAACTTGCACAATCACCAACCCTGGATGCACACTTGCTGTACCCAGGGTTGTTCAGAGGCTCTATTCACATGTATCTGCTCAGATGTTTGGTTACATGAAACAGCAGCAGTGCCAGCCACTGATTTGTGCAGGGTACAAATCTGACATCTGCTGTTGGTTGCGCACAGTCTGCACTGGCAGCATTTAGAACTGCCCCTGGCTGTACAGCCATGTGAACATAGCCTAATAGTCAATACCCATAACCTAGTGCATATCTAACGTCAATCAATCTGCTGGAACTCATTATCCACTTCAAGTCCGAACACTTTCACCCCCTTCCAGTCCAGGCCAATTTTCAGCTTTCACTGCTATCACACTTTGAATGACAATTTTGTGGTCATGCAACACTGTACCCATATTAATTTTTTAGCATTTTTTTGAGACAAATAAAACTTTATTTTGGTGGTATTTATTCATCACTGGGATTTTTATTTTTTTTGCTATATAAATGAAAAATTCCAAAAAAGTTTTTTTTGCGTATAACATTTTTCAAAAAAATAATCTTTCTTCATAAATATTGGCCAAAATTATTATTATTATACAGTATTTATAAAGCGCCAATAGTTCGCTCAGCGCTGTACATTACAAAGGGGGACAGAACATGTGACAGAACAATACCAATACAATGCAAAACATGAGGGGATTGAGGGCCCTGCTCTTTCAAGCTTACAATCTAGGAGAAATGTATTCATCTATCTTTTTAGTAAGAAAAAAAATGACCAAAATTAGTTTACTGTATAACCAAAAATTATGATTTTTTTCAAATACATTTTTACATTTTTATTTTATTTTTTTGTATTATTATTTATGTTTTTTTTTTTTACATACATACTCTAGTGACACTCTACTTTGTGGGGGTTGATGAAGATTTTTGTTTTCTTTTTTTACACTGATTAAAGGCTGTAAAAGCAATCATTTCTCCTTCTCTCTGGCTGCATTCCTGCAGACATTGAGAAATACTGTGTGAGCTGTGATTGATCACAGCTTGTCACATGGTACAAGGCTGTTGTGAATAGCCTTGTACCATGTGACCTCTGTGATCATTCACATATTTCACAAGTAGTAAGCAATGATGACATCTTGCTTACTACTATTCATGTGATCACTGATTGGCCAATCAGTGATCACATGAATCGGGACCTCACACAGAGGTCCTGTACAGCGAGCACGCACAGGCAATGGATGTGGGGGGAATTTAGAAACGTCCACCCGCATCAGCAGGGCTCCCGTCTGACCGTTTATCTACATGGGCCGGATGGGAGATTTTTTTTTTTGCCAGGAATAAAAAAAAAAAAAAGTATTTACCCTGCTCTATTGAACAATTATATAAACTGTGCTGGTAAAGTAAGAGTGCCACACAGGTGCAAGCACTGCTACGTTAGCACCATCCCAGCCACACTTTTGGTGCCCTTTTTCTTGAAACATCTGCCCAAAGTAAGGTCACACTAGCTGATATAGAAATGTATGTGAACCTTAATAATGAACATTCATTTGTCCTTTTTGGTCTGTTAAATATTCTACTGAAAATATTTTATATACAGTATATTTTGGATAACTACAAAAAAAATAAAAACCGTTGATCCTGGCAAAAATCCAGTACTATTCTGTGCTCTTTGTCAAGATATTTTAAGCAGTCTTATCAACTCAACCAATTCACCCCTATGAAAACCAAAAAAAACCCACCAAATGAATAGAGATAATGCTGTGTTCTGTAGGGTGAACATCCTTCCTGTTCTAGGTTGACAATGTTGCTCCTCTATAGATACAGTACAGTGAGGGAGCATTGTCACCTTAGAACAGATAGTATGTTACTGTTAGAATTACTAAGTGAAAATAAAGGGGAAAAGTAATGCAGCCACCACATCTAAGAACTGGTAAGATGCAATATATACCAATTTTCTTCTTGGGTTTAGATATAGTTTAATATTTCATGGTACACTTTGCAATGGGGATCCCAGGCCATATACCTAGTGTTCCATAAACAATGGAAACACTTTTATGCGGTTTGGTGCAGAAGGCACTGTACATGCACTCCATTGTAAAATGAAGTTTGTTAACCAGTCTCTACTTGCATAGATACACCTGGCCACCATGTTTTTTAGTATCTCAAGGCCACACTTTCTAGATAATAGGGCGGCACAGTGGCTTAGTGGTTAGCACGTCTACCTTGCAGTAAATGGGTCATGGGTTTGATTCCCAACCATGGCGCCTCCTGCATGGAGTTTGCATGTTCTCCCTGTGCTTGCGTTTGTTTCCTCCGGGTGCTCTGGTTTCCTCCCACACTCCAAAGACATGCTGGTAGGTTAATTGGATCCTGTCTAAATTGGCCCTAATATATGTATGAATGTGAGTTAGGGACCTTAGATTGTACACCCCTTGAGGGTTAGGGACTGATGTGAATGTTCAATATATATATATATAAAGCAGTGCGTAAATTGACAGCACTATATAAGTACCTGAAATAATAAATAATAATAATATTAATTCATATATCACTTATAAATGCATAGCTCCCAACTGTCCCTGATTTTGAGGGACTGTCCCTCGATTGAAAAACAAAGTCGCTCTGTCCCTCTTTCCTCCTAGGTTGTCCCTCATTTTGGTCTGATTTATAGAGTTGTGTATAAAATTCACTATTTATCTTTCCAAAAAGTGTTTCCCAGTACTAAGCCTTTCATTAAAATTGTAAACTGCTGCATTTGTAAATTTCCAAAGCTAGTATAAAAGAATAGTAGTGGTGAAAAAAAGCACTTTTGGGTTTAACTAATCTTTTTTTTTTATAATTCTCCTTTAAGGGTGTGTGGCAAGGGTTGTGTCCTATGCCTACATCATTTTGCTAATTTCAAACCCCAATGTAATCCTGTTTTTTTGGGTTTTTTTTTTTTAATAAATCTGTCTATATATAGAGCCTTTTATAACGTGACACAAACTGTCCATATGTCCAACAACAGCACTTATACAAGTCACCTACAGTAGTAGTGAATGAAACAGCGAAATATGAGCAAGCAACCCTGAGGTTCTAGTTGAGCACCAAATTAAAGTCTCTGTAGGGAAGAATTAGTTAATAACGCTCAACCTATTATGGATCTGATAACAACAAGGACAACAAGTAATAGATTTTACTGGGAAACCAGTTTCCAGGTTCAGCAAGCTGAAATCATACAACCATCCCCCCTACAGTCACAGTAAACAAGTCACTGGAGAGAAGAAAATCACTAAGCTGTATGTATGACATGAGTCTGTATTGTGTTATCCTAAGAAGAATTATGTCCGCATGGCATCCCATTTCTGGTACATTGTGTTGGCAGGTTTATTTTCCTTGCACTGTACTTGTAGTATAGCACTTTTGTGAGTTAAATACTGGGGACAGTCCCTCCAAATGAAAGAAAGTTGAGACCTATGGTTTACTGTTTTACCTGAACTCAATGGGATGATTCTGGACACCACGCAAACAATTAAACATGGGATTTTTAAGGTGTCACTCCATACTATACATGTACACTGTATGTCTTTATAAAAACTAATATGATGGATAATAAGTTCTTTTAATTTAGAAACTAAGTTGTTTTTTTTTTTTTTTTGGTTGGGGGGGGGGGGTCTGAAGCTGGACCTTCCCTCCTTTGGCTGGAACAATCTGGAGCTCTCCCAGGATATGAAATGACAATTCTGACCGCCTGTGGCTGAGTTAGGTGACACACCCTTAAAGGTTACCTACTACAGTGTATATTATTGTCCATATTGACCTAGTGCAGCTAATCTTCACCTTTTGAGGTTGTTCCCCCTTTATAATGAGCTCTAAAATAACATGAATGAATTATACATCATGGACATAGGGAATCCCACTGGCCCTACCTACCTATATGGTTGGGTGGACACTTAGAGATACCTTATTCTTTGCAAGGTGAGGTATAATCTGCTAGCATCTTTATCGCCTGCATTCCCCCCTGGAACTCATCCAGTCTTTCTCTGGTACTGCATCTGCATATTTTATGATTAAACTATTACATTCCCATATAATCACTTTGCCACTAGAACACGGATACATCCTGCGGAACAAAATCTTCTGACCTCAGCATTTTTTTGGGAATAATATATGGTCACCTATTGGATAATGGTACTATTAGTGACAAACTTGTTTTAGCTATTGTATACAGTGTTATTTCTATACAATTTTAAATAAAGGTTTATCAATTTTTACAAAATGATACTGGGGGAGATTTGCTCAAATTGTAGCACTCAGAATCTGGGGCAGCTGTGCATGGTAGCCAATCAGCTTCTAACTTCAGCTTGTTCAGTTAAAGTGTTACTAAACCCAGGACCATATATCAGGGGCGTCCCTAGGGTTAGTGTCACACGGTGCGCTAACACTTGGTGTCCTCCAATGATTTCCGCAGGATGGATCAGATCTGCAGATTGAGCATAATGGATCGGAGTCCGTTCCATTATACTCCCCAATCTGCAGATCCGATCCATCCTGTGGGGATCGTCGGCTTGCAACCTATACGGGGTTAACTGATCTCTCCACGAAAAGTTAAGTTTTAAAGCAAGCTGACAATCCACGCAAGATGGATCAGTTCTGCGGATTGGGGAGCATAATGGATTGGACTCTGATCCATTATGTTCAATCTGCAGATCCGATCCATCCTACAGGGATCGTCGGCTTGCTTTAAAACGTACCTATTGGTGGAGCTCGTGGAGAGATCAGTTAACCCTGTATAAGTTGCAAGCTGACGACCCCCGCAGGATGGATCAGATCTGCAGATTGGGGAGCATAATGGATCAGACTCCGATCCATTATGCTCAATCTGCAGATTCGATCCATCCTGTGGGGGTCATCAACTTGATTTAGAACTTTCCTTTTCGTGGAGCGGGTCTGGTGTCACCCCTGCAATAGGTGTCATCCGGTGCGGAGCGCAACCCCCGCACCTGCCTAGGGACGCCACCAGGGGCGGACTGACAACTCATGGGGCCCCCGGGCAATAGGGGATCATGGGGCCCCTGTGTCCTTGCCCAAACTCAAAAAAGCCTATGAAAAAGGTACCAGGGGCATTTCATGGGGCCCCCTACTGACTCCAGGCCCTCGTGCAGTGCCCGAGTTTCCAAATGGTCAGTCTGCCCCTGGTCGCCACTGCCATGCATTAACTATATCTGGTCTCCCACAGTACACAGCACATGCAAATGCAATTAATGTAGTAACTATAAACTGTTAAATACCTTTTCTCATCTGCAGTATACAGCAGTCTTGTGACTTCTATCGCTGTCCAGCAGAGCACTAGTTAAAGCTTACAAAAGGAGTTTTCATTCTCTTAATGTCCTATGAGACTGACCCTGACCCTCTGTCTGGACAGTGCTGATTGGCCTTCTGCTGATCATATTCACTCTCCCAAGAAAAAAAAACAACCTCTCTAGCAATACACACCAAACTGAGCATGTGCAGTTTGCCCCAAAGGCTCTCTTCTGTCAGGAGAAGAGTCGGGAACTGTGGAAAAAGGAGAGGTTCAGAGGAGACAGGATCAAACATTCTTTTTACACAATGCGGAGGATAACCCCTTAAGTTCTACAGTGAGTATAACAAGCATGCTTTACTGCATATACAGACTGATTTTACTGTTGTGAGTTTAATAACACTTTAAGCTTTAAGACAATAAAACCTGGAATCTGATTGGTTTCTTTGCAAAGCTATACCAGATTTTGCATCCTACAGTTTTAGTAAATCTCCCCCACTACAAGTATAGAAAATGGGGTGACACCTCAAAAATCCCATCTTTATTTATTTTTCAATTACTGTTTTACCTGCCTAAGGATTAGCAATCTTGATCAGCCATTCTTGTGATAAACATACCCCTGCTACTCAGTAAGATCATGCTTCATCATTTCTACCTTCTGTGTCAGCTCCCTGTTCACTGGACGGAGTTGATGATATTGATTTCCTGTCCAATAAGGGGGGTGGAGGCAGCAGGGTAATACTGTAAAGTGAATTGCTAAACAAGAAAGTTGAACCTGTTAATTAGCACTGCAGAAACTGGATGTAAACTGCAAGAATGTCAGCACAGAATAACAATCCTTTGGCGGTAGGTATGAACATATATATGACTGGGTTTGCTTTGCAAACAGTTTTGTGAATCTTGTGATATTCAAAGTTCACAAACTTTGCAGAAAACATCAGTGAAGTTATGGGGGAAAATCTGGTCATTTACCCTTGGCTATTTGTAGGGCTATGAAGCAAACTATTGTCATACAAGAGGCAAGAGAAGCTGGGCACTGCCATTGGGGAGCTGAACCAATTTAAAAAAATATATATTTATTATTATTATTTTTATATCAGCGTACACAGAATTGTCAGCGCTCCCTGACAGCTCCAACACAGACCGACCATTTGGCTGCTTCCTTTTACAGGAAGGGGCCGGGGTTTAACCATTCCTTTAAATGAATGTGGCTTAGCAGACCAGGAGAAAATGCTACACACGGCATTATAGTTTATTTCTTATTTTCTGGTGGCAAAACTAGGGACCTAGGGAGATTCAACCTCACTACTGATTCTGGTGGCCATTGTTTCTAGTACAGAAAGTGTTGGAAAACCAAAAACGTTTGAATTGTCATAAAAACAGAAGGTGAAAAAGCTCTTAGACAGCTTGTGTTCACAGCTGTCTAAGAGGGTTTTTTTTCTAGCTTTGGGCAATTCTTTTATTGCCTGCAGTTTCTCTGGAACAGGAAATGTAAGTAAATATATCCCGATGGGACTTAGGTCACATTAAAAATGAAGGTTTTAGCTATTTTCTACTCCATCCAACAGTACTTTACAGTATATATAAAAAAAGATTTGACACAAAACATTGACAAACAGTGGTCCCACTGATTTTTTTTTTTTTTTTTGCTAAAAACACATTTACTGGAAATATATATATATATATATATATATATATAAACAAAATGTGAGAAAAAAAATATCAGCTATATCAGTTATTTTTATTCATAACATTGCTGACAGCTTTTCACAGCCATGAAATAGAATTTGTAATGCTTGGTTTAATTCTACTTATATATTTATGTGTACATTTGAACTAAAATATAATTAGGCGGTTAGATTAATTTCTTATATCTATGCAAATATACCTAGCTTTAACAAATGTATGTTCACTCTAGAAAAATACTTCTATGTGTAAACAGGGACATTTATTGCCTGCCTTGAACCCTTGCCATAGTGAAAGTTGTATTTATGTTGCTGAAAGCCTTTAACATTATTATTAGACTTAAAGTGTTACTAAACCCGAAACAGTAAAATCAGTGTGCATATGCAGTAAAGCATGCTTTACACTCACTGTGGAACTTAAGGGGTTAATCCTCTGCATTGTGTAAAAACACTGTTTGATCCTGACTTCTCTGATTCTCCCCCTTCTTCCAGTGTCCCCCTCTTATCTTCTGATAAGACATATCGTGTGGAGTCATTCTACATATGATCAGTTTGGTGTGTATTGCTAGAGAGGTTTTTTTTTCTTGGGAGAGTGCGTGTGATCAGCACAGAGTCAATCAGCACAGGGCCAATCAGCACTGTCCAGACAAAGGTCAGGGGTCCTGCATACTCCTACAGCAGAATGAAAACTTCTCCTACAAGTTTTAACCAGTGATCGGATCTTGAACTGAACACTGATAGAAGTCACAAGACTGCTCTAAACTGCTCATGAGAAAAGGTATTTAGCAGTTTATATTTACTAAAATAATTACAGTTCCATGTTGTGTGTACTGTGGGAGACAAGATAGAGTTAATGCAGTGGCTTGGGTTTAGTAACACTTTAAGTTGACATATTCCATATAAACGTATTACAGTTGGTTTTTTTGGGGCTACTGAATAGCATGAGAGTACTTTTTTTTCTTTTGAATAGAAAAAAGTGAATGCTATCTACAAAGGTCTATGGTCAGTAAAGGTGCAAAGAGTAAAACTAAATGATAGGTAACAACTTTTTTTTACTTCTTTCTATTATAGAATTAATGAGTCATAAGTTTTATAGCATAACACATTCAATTTCATCTGTATAGTCAGCAAAGTTGTTGATAACATGGATTGTGGTAAGGGTACAAAATGTGTCAGATTCAGAGGCAAGTTGAATAAAATATACCTTATCCACCTCCCGCCCGCCATATAATACAATGACGGGCGCAAGGCGGTTCTCTCATTCTGATAGGATGTCATATGACGTCCTCTGATTCTAAGCGCGCATGCGTGGCTCCAGGAGCACGCAGTGTGGCGATCGGCGGTGCGGTGTGTCCCTCGGATCACAGCGGATCACCAATCAACAGAAAGAGCCAAAGATGGCTCGGTCATGTGATCAGTTGTGTCCAATCACAGCTGATCACATGTAAACAGGGAAATGCCGGTTATCGGTATTTCTCTCCCCACGAGCTGTCACGCTGACAGCTCGAGAGGAGAGGAGAGCCGGGAATCAGCATTCCTCGGAGGGGACATGTACATAGATCATCAGAGCACTGATGATCAGTGTGCCCTGATGATCTGTGTAGTCCCCAGCAGTGCCACCTGTCAGTGTCCATCAGTGCCAGCTGTCAGTGCTCATCCATGCCACCTGCCAGTGCCCATCAGTGCCACATTTCAGTGCCTACCAGTGCAAATCAATGCCACATATCAGTGCCCATCTGAGCTGCCTTTCAGTGTCACCCATCAGTGCCAGTCATTGCCACCTATCAATGCCAGTCAGTGCCACCTATCAGTGCTGCCAATCAGTGCCACCTATCAGTGCCAGTAAGTGCCGCCTATCAGTGCCAGTCAGTGCTGCCTATCAGTGTGCATCAGTGCTGCCTATCAGTGCCCGTCAGTGCTGCCTATCAGTGCTGCCTAACAGTGCCAGTCAGTGCCACCTAACAGTGCCAGCCAGTGCCACCTATCAGTGCCAGTCAGTGCCACCTATCAGTGCCATATATAAGTGCTGCCTTTCAGTGCCCATCAGTGATGCCTGTCAATGCCCATCAGTGCCACCTACCAGTGCCACCTCATCAGTGCCCATCAGTGCCACCTATCAGTGTCCATCAGTGCAGCCTATCAGTGCCCATCACTACAGCCTCATTAGCGCACATCAGTGAAGGAGAAAAATCACTTATTTACAAACTTTTATAACAAAAACTAAGAAAAAAACTTTTTTTTTTCAAAATTTTCAGTGGTTTTTGGTTTGTTTAAGAAAAAAAATAAAAAACCCAGAGGTGATTAAATACCACCAAAATAAAGTTCTATCTGTCTCAAAAAAATGATAAAAATTTCATAGGGGTACAGTGTTGTATGATCGTACAATTGTCATTCAAAGTGTGACAGCGCTGAAAGCTGGAAATTGGCCTGGGCAGGAAGGGGGTATATGTGCCCTGTAGGCTAGTGGTTAAAGGATAAGTTTACCTTTGGGAACATTTTTAGGGTGGAACATGTAACATATTCCCAATGCTGCAGCCACTGCCCGCTGCTCACCCTTTCCTGTGACAGAAGTATGGGGAGAAGTTCCCCGTACTAGCTGTCTGTATTTAAAAACAGCTCAGCCATGCGGTGCTCCGCCCACACAGCTGCATCATTCAATCATAGTGTTCTGTGAATTAATGAACTACAAGTCCCGACGGTCTCAGAAGCTGTTGGCTCATAGTATTCAATGAACTACCATGGCACTGTGGAGCACCATGGTAGTTCATTGATTCTTCCTCTCAGTATATCTGCTTCCCCGTACATCCCATATGGGCAAGAAGATATTCTGACAGGTCTGCAGGAGACCTGCATGGCACCAGCAGTCTGCTGATCACTGGTGCAATGCTTTCCAGGCTCCTGCAGCCAAAAATAATAAATGCACATTTTTTTACCTGCAAAAAAGTGTGCATTTATTATTTTTTGTGCAAAAGATGAACTTATAAAGCTGAACTCCAGGGATGATATATTTACAAAGTAATATTAGGCTAGCTTGGCTGTAACTCACTGTAGTAGCCGTAGCTACTACATTGATGAGTATTGTCCTATAGCTGCTGTGCCGCGCAACAGTGCTTCCAAATAGTCACCACAGGGGGTCACTTGCACGGTGCAGCAACCATTCAGAAAACAAGGTGGAGAGAAGGTCTGGTTACAAGTTCCAACTTGTCCAGTCAGAGAATTGTTTGCATTGATTGAGAAAAATGCAAGGTGTTCTCTGAATGGCAGCCATGCCAAGCATTCCCCCTGTGGTTACTATGCAGAAGGGCAGCACTTAAAACATTGTAGCCATCACTGTAGTAGCTCAGGCTACTTTAGTGACTTACAGCTTCCAAAAAAAAATAATCTCTGAAGTTCAATCTTAAGGTAATTTGAACAAAAAATGGCAGTTTGGGATGCTTGTGACTTACTTCTTTATTGCTTTTGAATTGTTTATGACTTGCTGTGTTTGTATTTACACTCCTTTTTATGGGGGGGGGGGGGGGGGATTTAGATGGAGTAAAATAGCACAAGCTCTGTTTATCAAAATGCAAAGCAAACCATAAAGAATGCAGTAATAAATGCTCCATAATGTCAAAATCACCATTGGGTGAGGCAGAGAGGAGTGAAAATGTCACCTATACCTCATCCAATGAGAGAATGTCTTGTATTCACTGAAAAAAATATAAGATGTTTTCCAAATGGTACAGGAGCCAAACAAACCACCCTTGTGTTTAGTATACAAAAGGTATGTCACTAATGCAACATCCAGAGGAGACCACCAATGACTGAATGTAGCACAGACTAGTGCAGTGAATTTCTGCATCCCCAGTCACCCTCCAGATGTCAGATATAAAGTACTACATGGAACCATTTTGGACCAAGTTTAAAAAAAGATAATTATTATTATTATATTATAATACAGGATTTATATAGCACCAACAGTTTGCTCAGCGCTTTACAATAAAAAAGGAAGACAATACAGCAAAAATACAGTTCAATACAAGAGGGTTAGGAGAGCCCTGTTTCTTGGAGCTTACAGTCTAAGAGAATAACTGGAGTATAGTTTTAACCACTTGCCCTCCAGAGGATTTACCCCCCTTCCTGACCAGGCCATTTTTTGCATTACGGTGCTGCATTAATTAACTAACAACTGCAGGGTCATGCAACACTGCACCCAAAAGAAATTTATGTACCTTTTTTTAGAACAAACAGAGCTTTCTTTCGGTGGTATTTGATCGCCTCTGCGTTATTTATTTTTTTCTGCTATAAACAAAAAAAGACTGACAATTTTGAAAAAAAAAAACAATATTTTTGACTTTTTGCTATAAAACATAGCAAAAAGTAAAAAAAAAAAATTTAAAAATCAAATTTTGTCATAAATTTAGGCCAAAATGTATTCTGCTACATGTCTTTGCTAAAAAAAAAAACCCAATACGTGTAAATTAATTGGTTTACATGAAAGTTATAGCATATATAAATGGTAGTATATATACTGGAATTTTTTTATTTTTTATACTAGTATTGGTGGCAATCAGCGACTTATAGCAGGACTGTGGACTATGGCAGCCATTCTGACACTGGGGGGGACTGACTAACTGCCACTGATATCTCAATGACACTAATACAGTGATCAGTGCTAATAAAAAGCACTGACACTGTACTAATGACACTTGGCAGGAAGGGGTTAACATCTGGGGTGATCAAAGAGTTAAGAGTGTGCTGTGTTACTGTTTGTGCTGTGTGTGTTTTACTAGGGAAACATGCTGCTTTGTATTGCTCTGCTATACAGAGCAATACAAAGCAGAATGTCGGTTCTGACAGGGGAGAGATCTGTATTGTTTACACACAGACCTCTCCCCTATCACAGTTCCTCTGCAATGACAGGGTGCTGTCGGGGAAACTCTGGCCGGGACCCAGTGATTGGCATCTTCTAATGTTGGGTGGGTAGGGCAGCGTGCACGCACCCCCTACGGAAATGCAAAATCACGTATATATTCGTGATTTTGCACAGCCCTGCCACCCTGTAGCAGTAGTTCTGCTATAGGGGGCAGGGAACCAGTTAAAGAGGAACTGAACTAAGGAAACCAAAGCCAAAAAAAAGCAGGCAGGGGACAAAGAATTAGTCATAAACAGGTCCTGCAGTCTTTCAGCAGCTCATCTTTTCTCAAATCTCTAAAATCTGAGAATAGGAGTCAAAACAGCAGTGACATACAGTATACACTGGGCCAATCATGGCGAGTGATGTATTCTACTAATGAATACAAAGAGTCTGAGAGGTGTCTGATTTCTTTTTGCCATCTGTATCCCATTGCGGAGATTGCCTTTCACTTCCTATCCCATAGTCAAAACAGGAAGTGAGAGGAAATCCCTACAAATTAAGGGAATTTCTTGGGGACCCTCAGGCCACCAGAACTAGTGTCCCCATTGGAAGATTTCCCCTTTATTACTTTTCTGAGGACAACCCAAAATTTTGTATTTTCTTTTGTAAACAGGACAAATAGAGAAAGTCAATCTCCCTAATTGGGGGTTCAGACAGCAATAAAAACTGAGAAGCATTCTAATACCTCTGTATTCTATCCAAAATGTAAAAAAAAAGTTTTGCTTTTAGTTAGACTTCAAGTACAAAATGCACATTAAGTTAGGCAAACACCCTTTGTGTAGGTGGGTAGGCCTAATTTACACTTTATGAATGCTTCAGCATTTTCAGTTATGTTAAGCCTGTTTACTTATAATTTAAAATGACGAATACTCAAATTACTGCAAGATAAAATGTAATCAGACTAAACAAAATCAAAATAACTTTAGGTGTCAGTGGTTTTCTACATTTGTTTGTTCTTTCCTTATTAAAAATAACATTTTGAAATACTGCAAATAAATATATTTAATTCTTCTTTCTGACAGTTGGAGCCTCTCTTTCCTTACCACTTGCTGTTAAAAAAATAACACTGGTCAAAGAGCTCAATAGCTCTAGATTATTATTATTTTACAGGATTTATATAGCGCCAACAGTTTGCTCAGCACTTTACAATATAACAGGAGACAATACAGCAACAATACAGTTCAATACAAGAGGGTTAGGAGTGGCCCTTGAAGCTTACAATCTAGGAGGGAGGGGGATAGTGGTACAAAAGGTAGTAACTGTGGGGGATGGACTGGTAGGAGTAGAAGATTCCATTATTAGCTGAGGGCAGGATAGGCTTCCCTGAAGAGATAGGTTTTCAGAGATCACCTAAAAGTGAGCAGAGTAGGCGACAGTCTGGTAGAGAGTTCCAGAGGATGGGGGAAGCTCTGGAGAAGTCCTAGAGACGAGCATGGGAGGAGACAAGGAAGCTAGAGAGCAGGAGGTCGTGCGAGGAGCGGAGAGTACGGTTTGGGTGATATTTGGAGACAAGATTGGTGATGTAATTTGGGGCAGAGTTATAAATGGCTTTATATGATGTTTACACACACAAGTGAATGAGTCAAAAGAGCAACCCATGCCTTACTGGATGTTCTCATCTGAGATTTCAGTAGGAGTAGTCAAAGATAATCTATAATATAACCTAGCTACAGTACATATGAGACTTTTGAGACACATTTACCAAACAGAATTATTTAAAAACAATATTTTTTTTAAACATTGATCATCATTGACATAAAAATATTGACTAATACAATATTTGCTCACCACATATACAGTATATAAGTGTATGATTGCCCTACAAATTTGGGATATTATTAACATTGCGTGGGTGTTTGGTATTTATAATATACACAGCTTTTGTAGAAATTATCTTATCCAAGCCTCTGATGAAGAAATTTTGAAACATGTCAGGCTTCTGTTTCCACAGGTGCAAGCAAAGCAACAGGTTTAACTCTAAAATCTGGGAAAATGGATATGAGATACAGATTTGGTGATTATACAAAAAAAATAGTACATGCCAATA